TATAGTCATTCTTAAACAATATTCAAAGGTAAAACTAATGAAAAATACATAAAAATATTGAGAAAGTTATATAAAACATTATTTAAATATCTTTATCAATAGGGTAGGTTAGGTTAGGTTAGGTTATCGGGTTTTGTTCAAGTGACCACCCTCTTTCGATCCCCCACCTCCACCCGCTTGAAAATATTTTTTTTATTTGAATTATATTGTATGAAAATTGTCAAAATAATCAACTTAACCATAACGTTTTATGGGGGTGAGGCCGCCGCAAAGTTTTTATGGGGTTTTACTCAGGTGACCACCCTCTTTCGATTCCCCCTACCCCCACCCCCATCTAACTCCCATAACTTTTAATGGGGGTGAGACCGCCACGAACTTTTTATGGTACAGTGGTGGGGGAGACCTCCTCGTTCGATCCCACCTTCCTCTAGACATTTACCGGTTTATCAGAAGAACATTACCTAAGCGGAACAATTTTTAAAATAATAAAATAAAATTTATGAAAATAACAGACTTTTCATGCATATTATTTTCATCAACTAACTAAATTCTATAAAGCTTTTCAAAAGCACCGGTTATCGCGTTACTTTAACCGAGTTTTCGTAGTTTATTTGTAAACTGTGAACTTTCAGGTAATATCGGCTTTTACTGAAGCAGGTGTACCGTCGATTTTAAGGGCGAAACTTGATGAGAGCAACGTAAACGAAAGGGACTGTCTAGGTAGAGTGCCACTACATTACGCGGTCTTAAACAATAATGAAGAGATGGCGAGTTTTCTCATAAAAAGCGGTGCTGATCCTAACATTCAAATTTTTAGTCGTGTTACTAATAACTATAAACAACTTATTAATGCGACAGACTGGTCTAAACTACTTCAAGAGGTCAGTCCATTTCTAATAATTTCTACAAAAGCATAATGTATATCAGAAATTGTAATTAACTTTTAATACGTTGATATTTTAGATGCCCACGCCTGATGAGGCTACAGCCCTTCATATAGCCGTCAAAAACGGTCGCTTGGAATTAGCGAAGTTACTCCTCCAAAACGGGGCAGAAGTCAATGCCAGAGGTTTTGGCGATGTCACTCCGTTAATGTTAGCAGTGGCTAATAAAAGAAACACGACGGAAGCCATAATAAAAGAACTGATTGATTACGGGGCCGATGTTCATTTAATGGACAGTCAAGGTAACTTAACCTTTTATCAAGCAACAGGCAGTAGATATATTGGATTCTAGTGAACTCAATGTTCTTTATCGTTCAATTTATCATATTAGCATTTCATGCTTAGTTGCCTAGTTCTTAGTTTACGTAATACCCAATTACGAGTTGTCTTTTTATGTTGATTGCCGTGAAATCTTAAAATGTTGGTTTTAAAGGAGCGAATGAAACTCGATATAAGACACTACATACAGACTTTATCTAC